TGTTTATGTACATGTTTTCCCTTCCATAATCAACAATTGCATTGATTTTTATAATCATCAGTTCAACTGTCTTGATTTCCCTAATCTTCTATAGGCCTTGATATAAAATCCCGTGTACATGTCTGCTTGTCCTTGCACTAGCATAGATCTATACACACATTGCAATCAATTTCATGAAAAAACAAATACTTTTACCATTATTTCTTCTTGAGTCTTATAGCAAACCCATTTCTAACAATCCGTTAGTTGTACAAAATTAAAACAAAATCTAGTAAGTTATTTTCTCATCACTGTAAAGTAGGGGGTTGCTTAGCTTTTTTGCTAATAACTTTTAAATGGTGAGGAAATCGACCAAAGTGGAAGGTGATATTCCAAAAGAGAATACAATTTCCTATTACTGACAATCATGTATTTCTTGAAAAATACTCAATAAAGGCAGCCAAAAGATGCATCCAAATATAAATGTGATAAACCCCGGTTTTAATGTATTTCTTGTGTAAAACATATTTTTTAAATCAGAAATCCTAACAAAAACAAAATTTCTTAATTATTTGCAAATCTACAAAAAGTTAACTTTCCGACGACCCATTAATTAATCAATCGGTACAGTAGAACTGTAGAACTGTAAATTTAATCGTACAAAGATTTTTTAAACTGAATTAGTATTAGAGTACCTAGATTTAGATGCTAGAAACAAGTAAATTTTCCCCCAACTGTAGTATTACCACAACCATTCACTCCCAGTGTTGACACGCCTGTTAGTTTTGCTCACAATACAGTTTTGCGCTGTTTTACCAGTTTAGCGATGAGACAGTTGCTAGTTGCGGATGACCTTTACGTCAGGTCAAACCAGTTTCTGATGAGCAGCTGACCTGCAGCCCAAGGTCGCTGGAATGCTATCAGACTCCACAAATACTTTCTCCATGACTCCCAACATTGTGTCGGGGAAATCCCTGTAGCAAGTTCCCATCATTGTTGCTTGTTGCGCCATGCTTGTTGCTTGTCAGTTAGTCGTGTTGTCTTTTAACTGCGTTATTGTTTTATGTCCGTTTTAAAAATCAAGTATTTGTTTAATTGTTGACACCATTTCAAATCTTGATGATTTTGTAATAAAGTTGTTCTCTCTCTCTCTTACTCTCTCTCTCAAGGCGTTGGTGTTGTTCACCTTGTCAAACGCTAATAGGCGTACTTTTTGCCATTAAAATAGAGATAAGTGTAAATTCATGTGTTGACAATGTTCAAAGAAATTGTGAGATTAACAAAAAATATTTTTGATTTAAGAATAGCCCTTAAATATTTTTTTGTTTATTTGTTTGGCACAAACTGCTTTTTATATGAAAATTCTGCTTTATTTTACGGCATTAATTAATAGTAAACTTAGTTGTCAGAACAAAAAAGACGAGCTCAAAATTCGAAGAATGATTTTACTCAACAAAAAAGTTGCGCTTTAATTTCATAATACAAAACAAAACTTCCTGTTTCTATACACAAAATATTTTTTTTAATTTAATCATTAAAATTCTTATAATGTTAGCCAAAAGTACAAAAAAATAGGATAATATTAATAACTACTACTTCTTGTTTAAACATACCGTATCTCAATATTACACTGTTTAAATTATCTAGTTTTATGTAGTTAGAATATTGTTGTTGTAAAATTCCTTGTACTACTTCACAAAATAGCCAATATGTATATACTTTTGAGCACACCTGTATTGTGGTTGCCACACTGAACCTAGATTATTTAAAAAGTTGATTAAACTTATCCTTCATTCTAAATCCACAATTTGTTTCCAAAGTTCCTGTTTATTTACAGACAATGATGTTTGTTGGCAGATAACAATATCAACAAACAACTTTATATTTTTATTGATAGACCTAATCATACAATGATAGTTTTGGTTGGACTGAGTGAAGTTGACTAGATCGGTTGAGCGTGTAAACTCTGCTATTACACAAAATTGTGCCAGATATGGTAATGAGTGGTTTACTCCATAAAGCAGGATGCAGCCAGTTTGGCAGGATGACCATTCACTTCCTACCCCCAGTGTCAGTGTTTGTAAAATGGTTTTGAACTAGAATTGATAAATATATTTTGGAAATGAATGGCATTTTCAAACTAAGACTAATCATGCCTCGTTTGTTTTGATATCATGTATGCATTTTGTAATTCCAAGAACTCTAATGAGAAATATTTAATTACTGTACTCAATATTTTGTGTTATTTTCAAATTTTAAAACATAAAGTACCGTAATCTAAAGGATTGTATTTCAGAGCACTTGGTTACTTACATATTATTAACTACTATACAAAGTATTTTGTGTCTCAGGAAATAATACAAAGCTTAATAATAAGCTATTATATTTTTGGATGAGGAATTTCCTTTGTGGACTTTGGAAATTTATACAAAGTTTTTTCAGATTACTCGTTTAAAGCGTGTATTTTTGTTTGTACCGCTTTTCAAGTTGGGATTGTAAAATCACTAGATAACCTTCTGTTATCCAATCAATGAAATGAGAAAGTTTGGCCTTATTATGTTTCTTAAAAAGAAAAAAATATATCTGTACTTTTATCAACAACTAGAAGGATACTTTGTAGGTTTATGTCATTATATTTTACAACTTTGTGCTGTGGGACACTGTGCATTACAGCAACTAAAACCAGAGCGCACTGTTAGCTTGTGACATGTAGACAGAATAGTAATGATGAATTTTTTATTCAAAAGAGGCTCCGTTTGGTGACAGAAAGTCACAGATGACGGATATGTGATTGGTTATCTCTCGGGTTTACCCAATGTGGCGACACATACCCGTTTATGGAGGTTTTTATGCGGTGTTTCTTCCTTCATAGCTTTAACCTATCAAACCAGCTGTTCTTTTGTTAAGAATAACTGTAAAAGCGTCTAGACCTATCCTAATCAGAATAATTTTATTTTTACAATTAACAAAATTAATAAAATCGTACAAAGCTATTTCTTTTGTTTATATAAAGTAGGTATATTTCTTCTTACATATATAAAACTGTACTGCTTCCTTTGTAGTTTGTAAGACTTTAGATTAGATTACAAACCTATGAAGAATTCCAAAGGAAGATTTTTTATGAATTGTTTTTACAGTTGAACCACAAACTGATAAAAGGTTTAAGACTGATAACTATTTTCATAGATTCAACCTGTTGCCAGTCCATGGTTAATTCTCTACAGTGGTTCTATCCCGGGATATCGTAGCTAACTGTCTGCCATGGTCTAGTTGCTGACATTAGCACATTATGCTAACAAGTGCCGAGCCAATTAGATCTGTTAATTGACTTCTAACAACACTCCCTCTCACCTCTTACAAACCGGTGTAAGATTTTATATCGCTTTTATTATCTGCAAAGATCTTTCAAGTTTTCCCTATTGTAAAATAAAAACTGAAAACGACAGTGGAACAAAAGTGTTAATATATTAAAAACTCAACTCGTGAAAGTATGTTAATTACCCACTATTTGTTTCAAGTAGTTTAACTTATCACTTCATGTAATATAACCAAATAATTTTAAATACATTAATACATAATAGTTAGTGGATTGTGTGAGGAATAGATTGTCTTCTTGTGTAAATAATTTTGCCTTAATCATCCCTATTAAACTCCTACCAATGTAGTGGTATGGTATTTTTTGTTACAGTACCATTGGGTTATTTATGCTGGACCAAATGTGTATGTTATCTGTACATTTATCACAAGTTTTTGTCAAAGCTTCAGTTTATTTTATCTAAGAACACTGCTCATCTTTATGATTAATATTGATCGAGTTGATCTCAAATCTCTTAATTTGTGTTAGGTCAAAGCTGATAATTAATTGTTCTTTTTTACTGAATAACAATGTTTTCACTCTTTATTAACACATTCACTGCTAGTGATATGTAATACTTTTATAAATGGCTAAAAAACATAAACATTAACATGATCATGTTAATTGAGTGACAATATATCTTTAATTAAATAAATTTTATACTATAAATTGTGGATTAAAATATATTATGTAATTATATACATCATGTATTATATATCTGCTAATATACTTATGACGCACAAGTGCGTCATTAGCAGTGAACGTGTCAAATAGAGATGTGACCCATTAGGATATTAAGACATCAGGAATTGAAATTTGTTTATTTGCAAACCTACTGTTAAATAAAGAGGTTTTAATAGTTTAATATTTTCTAATGAAATATTCCATTATCTATAGTGGTCAGGTGATAAATAAATCATGTAGTTAGTTGATGAATAAGTCCTAGTGCATTTAGTGCATTTCCAGTAATCTTTAGAAGAGTCATGTGTGGAAGATTCACTGGTTTCCATTCAATTTTAAAAGCTTCTTGTCTTTCAAGGTGTTCGTTGCATTGGTAGTGCGTTATTTTTTAAATACTTAGGTTGAAAGAGTGGATATTTTTTTTTCTTGTCTGAAGTTTTTAGGTGTCAGTGTTAAAAGAAGTAAAAAATTGGAATAAAGAAATGCGTTCAGGGTCTGGTTATTGTTTCATCCTTATCTTTTAATTATGTTCAAATACACTCAATGGCATCCTCCCACTTGAATGGTTGTATAAGATAGGAGCAATATAGGATTGGCTAGAATTTGATTAGTTCTTTTCTTTGTAAAAGACCACTAGGCACGAGAGTTTTTCACATTTCCGCTGGCTGGAATTTTATTAGTGTTTTTTTTATAAATCTTCAGGCAAATTTCCCTATACAGGACTAATTTTTATTTTTTACCGATTCGTCAGACCAGTTCAACGAAACAGGTGTCACTGGCACCTGTCTATGTCTGTGTTCTGATGAACTGCTCTGATGGCTGTCTGCAACGAGGTTGAACGTCAGTACTTAGTAATATTTTTCTGTCTGTGACGCAGTCGTATCTCAAAGACCTAGTTTGTAATGTTAGTGTTAGTGTTAGTCTTAACTTATTATTTTATTAAGATTCTTGTCCCAGTTTTGTAGACAACAATGTTCCGTTTCAGGTGCTTCCAGAGGCTGTGATGTCCACATATCCAAGCAGTAGTGATGTCGGAGTGTGACGTGTGACGGGAGTGCAGTGACAATCATGTTCCGGACCAAAGTTCGTATCCACACGTGTAAGGTTATACTGATAACATCGCTGGTATGGCTGCTGGTGGATGTGGTCATACTGACGTTCTACTCGTCGGACTGTGTTGGGTGGGGGTGTGGAGGGGGCACGGAACCGCCGCAGGCTCTGGCGCAAGTTGCAACAAGCGGGGAAACAGCTACGAGTAGTCGGGGTCGGGGGAACCTGCACGAACTGATGAGGGATCGCGGCAAGAAGACTTACTCACCGTGGGAGCTGATGAAGTGGAAACCAGCGCCCACCGTAATTGAACAGGTGTGTGAGGAGAATTTACGGTGTAGAACCTCAATAACAAGTGTCATTTTCAAATACTCTTGATTTTGAATTACTCCTAATCAATGTAATCACAAACCTTCCTGAGAAGCTACCTTGATATCAAGTCTTCCTTGGTAATCCACATGAGAGACTTGCTTTTGAAGTTCTATTCTTATTGTAAACTGGTACATCTATCAATGGTATTATAATTGTAAGATTTTAACTGTATAGTCATTGATAGTTACGAACTTGAATATACACTAACATTAAGTAAGCAGCATTGGTATAGGCCTAGTGAAATTCATCAACCTTTTTATTGATTGAATTCAAGTTCTCAATAATTAAGAGTTGTCAGTTGTCATAACTATAAGAGATTGTCACTATTGTCAGCCTGTTATATAATCTGGTTTGTATTACACATTACTTAGTAGGCCTACAAAATTTATAACTCGATGATATATTGTTTTGTATTATAGCTTTTAATAGGCTAGTTAGCTTTTTTATCAGGAAATCTTTTTTCTACTTGAGTTATTAAAAAACTACTCTCTAATGAAATGTATAACCAAGGCAGTAGACAGGAATATATTTTGAAGGGGGAATCAACACTGGAAAGAATGGAAGATAAATTGGCCAATCTGGGGAAAATAATATAAAATAGATTTACAGAAACGTTAATTTAAGGAAATTTATAGGGAAACTTTAATTTGTAGGGATTTCATCCCAATACCTACTAGCTTCCCCTGTTCTTTAACGTAATTACAACATCCATTACAAAGTGCACATTTTGGAATTAAGTTTTTTCTACAACCTTGGTTCACCTCTAAGTGTTTGATTGTAGCATGGCAAGCCCGGAGAGCTGGGAAAGGCTGTAAACATTCCTACAGAACAAGAAGCCGTGATGAAGGAAAAGTTTAAGCTTAACCAGTTCAACATCCTCGCCAGTGACATGATCTCACTCAACAGGTCCCTGCAGGATGTTCGCCAAGAAGGGTGAGAAACATAAACTCAAATGGTTTAGGACCTTTGATTGTTGCGGAATTATCCATCACGTTTTGTAAAGTTTGGGAGTTTCAAATCTGCATTGCCGGTGTTTAAATTGTTTAAAAATATGTTGTAAGACAACAACAAACAGAATTGTGTAGAACTGGTTTCTCTTTGTTTCGTGATTGGTTTTTCATATTTTAAATAAAAATATCACTGCCACAGCAAACCTGCAGACTAAGCAAATTTCCATTTGTTGCAACTATTTAAAAAAATGTTATGTTTTTTTTCTTTCCAAGCTAACTCATATTATCTTAGTTTTAACTATTTAAAAATAACCTTTAATATAAAACAAAGATTTATTCATAAAAAAGTCATGAGAAACAGAAATTTTCTGCAAAATTCCTTCAATTAAGATGTTTACATCTCAATGTCTGGCTGTTTCATTTGATATCTTCTCGGTCACCCTGAGTCCAAAATGAAGTCAACTCCCATTTGTTTGCAAGATTTCTCTTAGGCCTACTTCAAGTTACTGTTGCAAGTTTTTTGGATTCTCTTCTACCAAGACAGAGACCTTGAACTTTAGATATTTAGGTCAGTGTCTATCCTTTTAACCTCAGGAGTTTTGTCTTTGGCAAGAAACCCCCTATCTCTCCGAGTAGAAATCCCTTTTTATCTTCAGGAAATGCTGCTATCTGACTAGAAGCTCCCTTTTCTCTTCAAGAGGGTTTGCCCTCTAGTATGAGCTACTTTTGAGTTGATACCACCTCTTCTTTTAGCAAATTTCCCTATAGGGAAGTAGCTATTACCATAGGTGGCACGGTAAGACCTAGGCAGGCCCGGTATCGATTTACTTTTTCATTTGTATGTCTCCATAGGCCAAAAACACCATTCGTTCAAATTTTTATACATGTATATCTTATCTTACTTCTTACTATATAATATTATGAATGTGAAAGGGGAATTCCCCCACTCTTTGAGGGAAATACCACAATAAGTGGGTAATATATTTTTGTTGGAAATTGGAAGCTCTAAATACTTGAGCTATCAACTCATCGACATCCATACTGCACTGTTAGTAGTTTGTAACTGACTGGTTTGGTCAACAAGCGCCGGAAAACAAGTACAAAACGTTCTTGCGTGCTTGTCAGAGCTTGTAACAAGCGCTTGTTAGCCGGCACAAGCTTTGTCTGTGAACGCACACGCTTGATACTATGTTGACTTTTCTCACGCCGGTTCGAGCTTACAAGCGCTTGTAACCAGCTTTCTTTGAGAATGCACCCTTACTACTGGTCATATTGGGCTGAAATTTGGCATGATGGTAGCTCACATTCCCGATTAACATGTAGACATACTTTAACTCCAAAACCCATTCGGGGTCCATTACAGTGGCTCTGGAGTTTTCCATGTTAACCTTTATGACTATTCATATTTAAAAAAGGAATTAAAGAATTGTTTCAGCTATTCTTACTAAAAAAGTTAGTTCTATAATATTCAATAGCATTAAAAAGTTATAGTTCCTTTACTTTAAACCTCCTTGAATGACAATTCTATAAAGCATCTGGAAATTCTCTTAGCATGTAGGTTTGCTGCAACAGGAACATTTACACTTCCAGCTAAAAAGCTATGGACAATTATTTCTAGATATTTTTCACTGAAGCTATAGATGAAATATTGTATGTATTATACATGCTAGATGCCCTACCCAAGTTTGAATGTCACTTGGAAAGGTGAATGAGATCATATATGAAAAAGAACATGAGCATGGCTCACATCTTAAAGGAGTGGTTGTTTCATCTTAGTAATATTTCCCACTTTTTGAACAAATGTTTATTAAACTTTCGTTTAATTTATCAAGTTCTATTTTTGTGGCCACTGTACTACTTAGTAAGAACTAAACTATTACCCTACATACCTCGTCTTGCAGTTTAAATTTAGTGTTTAACAATCCACTGCATATGTTTTGCCGAATATGGGATTTTCAAGTGGTATTCAGAACAAAATTAGGTACTGTATATCCAAATTGGACTCGTCAAATTGTAGAGTTTTAAGTCAAATTATAATAATCTATACATTGTAACAAACAACGAGTTAAGTGTTAAGTGCGGTTAAGTGTTGTAGGCCTACATGTTAAACGTTTTGTTGGTTCCCGTTGCGTGCTACAATGTGTTTATTTTAATATTTTAACTTTATGTTGGGTAACATGTGGTTAAGTAGTAGTTTAAAAAAAACCTCTCTTGCCTGACGAGAAAATGGCAAAAGTTTAAGAATTATTGGTGTAAAAATGTTTAATAAAACATAACTTTGTTAAATAAGGGACCTATTGAGCATTTTTGAGTCAATTTAAGTTGAATGTTTAATTCTCTCCATTCCCTAACTGAATTTTGTTCTGTAAGGCAGCTGCAACATTTGGTGTAGATTAATATATTCTAGGTATTAATTTGTTGACTCTCTTTTACATGTACCCATGTATAGTGATTGAAAATAATATATTCAACATAGCTCTAGGTTTTCAAACTTCTGACTAGCCACCTTAAATCTGACTGAAGAAACACAGTATTTTCTACCTCATACTCATTTCACGGATACTTTGATTGGGCTGATCTTATTTTACCCAATTTTATTAGTTTTTCTTTGGATCCAAAATATTTTCCTGTTTTTACAGAAGAAATAGCTGGGTAGCTTATACATAACAACCTGTAGCTGTTTTATATGTTGGAAATGTATAAATACCGACTTGTGTTGAGTTAAGTCAAGTAATATTCTAGTTGACTGGACAGCAGTTTTGTGATCAATGCCTTGAACGTCCGCTTCACTTGTGTTTCTTTGCAAAGCCAATCAGTGGAAGTATTCATCTGCTGTCACACTGCTTCTTTGACTGCCTCAAGGCTAACTTTCTCATCTTCTCAGTCTAACGACTGATGGTTTTATTTTTTATCAATACAAAAAAATTATGTTAGTTTAGTAAAAATAAAAAAAATGTTTATGTTGTAAGTGACAAGCTCGTTTTTTAAAGTCCATCGTGAAGCAAACAAACACCAGTTTGTTAATATTTTAATTTGTGTTACATTATCCTTTTCTAAGTTCAGAGCTATACAGAAAAGTTACTAAAGTAATTAGAAAACACAGAGTATATATAAATGTTCTTGTTATATTCTTTGTAATCTTCTAAAAATTAATATTTTTAGCTCTCACAAAAATTAATAAGACAGTCAGAATATTTAGGAGAGTTGTATAAAGATTTTCAGAAACTATCTTGTGACTTTGAAAATTTGTACATTGTAAACAACAAACGCCAGAACTAAATCAAACTTTAATATGATATTGATACATATATTGTAAACTAATTTGTAGCTTTTCAGAATTTTTCTTTTGCGCAAAAAGTTGTTTTTAATTATGTAAACTAACTATTCCTTAGAAACGGTAAACTCTAGAAAAAAAACATTTTTTGAAGGTCATTGTGTTAGTAATATAAATATTTATAATGCAAAGGCGTATTGCAACAGATGTCATTGATATCAACTAACATTTGTGCACGCTACTAGGGCTCATCACAGCTGGCAGCCGCCATCTTGGTGAAGATTTGTGATAAATACTGGCTTCACATCGCGGCCAACGTGCTCCATCTATTGGTCTTATGTGATTTTGGTCTACTTCTATTAATATGCATATGGTCTGACTCAGTAAGACTCAGCCCTTTTAACTAAGTGTCTTTTAACTTTCTAGATAATTTTAGATTGGACACAAAAAAGTTGTTCTTGTTTTGAGAGAAAAGAAACCATAATAAAATAAAGATTTAAGAATATTCATAAAATGTAATCCCTAAAATATTTGATAATTTGTCAAGTGAATTAACTAATTTATTGAATCTTTCAGGTGTAAAGACAAGTCTTATCCTAATTTACTACCTACCACGTCCATTGTGATAGTGTTCCACAACGAGGCATGGTCCACGCTATTACGCACTGTGTGGAGTGTCATCAACAGATCTCCCAAGACACTACTGCGGGAGATTCTGTTGGTAGACGACGCCAGCGAAAGAGGTAAAGTGATATATATCTAGATATATCATACCCGAATATACAGTACAACCTCTTTTAACCAGCCTTCTTGCTACTGAGTAACAATGTTGGGTAACATAAAAGGTTGGATAAAACTATACAAACATGTAAAATACTTGGATAGTGTGTGGTTTTTCTCTATTTGTACTTTTCTGTGGGGTAAATAAAAAAAACTAGTTCTGCTTAAACACAATTCACTATTACGCTCCTTTAACACTATATGGTTTTTCTCCTTTCGGTTAAAAATCGTACGGGTAATTTTTTAGACCCGTAAAAAGAGCATGAAAACTTTCACATTATCCTGTTTATGGTGACGGCGGGAACACGTCTTTTGCCGCCAAACGAGACGTATGTAGTTAAATGAAAGCTTTCATACTGTACAGTTATTAATCAAACGGGAGCCCACCAGCCAATACTGCAGCAATCAGCTGTTGTTGCAGCAATTTATCGTTTACAATTAGATACTGCTTATTTTATGGAAGAAACATAGAAACGGCGTATAATCCTACGGTTTTTAGCCTGCCGGATGAAACCATATAGTGTGAAAGGAGGGTTATTTTAAGCTTGAATAATTTGTTTTGATAGAGATTAATACTTTAGTAGTTGTATGTTAGGCCCGGTTCACACGAGCGACTTATCTAGCCGACTAGGCTGTGACTAGGTAAGCCCAACTGGGTAGCGGACCACAGGATCAAATGGAGCCGTTCACACGAGCGTAGGGCGACGACTAGCTATCGCGTTCAAGCTTGGTGTCCCAAAACACTCTTATTGATGTGAATAACCATTTGACACTCACTAACTATTTGGGGAATTCATTCAACCTAAGTGAGAAATGTAGGTACCACTGTTCAACAACCCAGAAACAACATTTTCTTGTTTCCGACAACAACAACAAAATTAACTTAATGTGGACTTTCAGTAATCTGAATGATTTGTTAGTCCAGAAAAAAAACCCTACCCCAATTCTCAATTCGGTCATAATTGCATATTCAAAGGGTCTAAGCAAGTTATAATTTAATCATGATAGATAGTTCCCCCTTGTGTGACCAAGATTAACGTTTTATTTTTATTTTCAACATCTTTTTTTACAGAACAATGTTACAACTAAGAAGTAGCCTATGACAAGGTATTTTAAAATAAACATACTATTCAAAAAACTAAATATAATAATATAACTAATATAATACAAACAAATAAGAAAAAATATGTGCAACGACCACTCCTGCTTCTGGTCGTTCTGGTTATAGCATGGACTTAGCAGTGTCAAATTTACAGAACATCTGGGCCAACAGCTAGAGGACTACGTGGCCACACTGCCTGTGTCAGTGAAGGTTCTGCGGACAGAGAAGAGGTCAGGGCTGATAAGAGCTCGGCTACTGGGAGCCAAGCATGTCAAGGGTCAGGTCATCACATTCCTGGACGCTCACTGTGAGTGTACCGAGGGCTGGCTGGAGCCTCTGCTGGCTAGGATAGCCCTGGACAGGTCAGTGGATGATGAGAGTACAGCCATTAGGAGTCTGCGGCTTCCCGATATTTTCGGTCGGGGGCCAAAAATAATGTTCAGTCCTAACTCAAGTTGTTTAAAGAAAACCAAGCCTCTGTTTTGTGATCCCAGGAAGCATCTGCGAAGATATGCGATGGAAAAGTGACAATTTCACTGGGATTGTGTGTTCACACGATTTTTCCACTATCGAGGGAGAGAATGATGATGATATGGCCATGATTGTGAAAGATGTTCTCCATTTTGTTGTGATTCTGATGATGTTCGCGATTTAACTGTGACCTCGGAAGTTGTTCTTGATTTTGCCATGTACGTTTCCCAAGGTGTTATTGATTTTGCTGTGACTGCTGGAGGAATCAAGAACAACTTCCGAGGTCACAGTTAAATCGCGAACATCATGTGAGACTTTGAAGGACTGGAGAACTGTGATGTGGCCACTAGCCTGTCAGCTGTCTAGAGTTTAGCTCCAGTCTCATCATTGGCGACATTGATCATGCATTCAAAGCCATCCACAACACAGGTAAACTAACTTGAAGCAAAGCAATGTCACTAGGTCGGGAGTTTTAGCTACAAGCTTGGTCATGTCCATAATTATAATGCTTATACTTTCAGTTTTTACCATGCTAAAATTTCTGTTTTTGTTTGGCTTAACAACATTAAAAAAAAAAAATAAATAAAATCTCAGAGTAGTTTTATAGTTAAAAAAAAACTTTTAACATCATGGGTCCTGCAGTACATGGACAAGCGACTGAGGTAGTTCAGCGATCCTACGCTAGGTTGCATTAGCATCACACAATCTTAACAAACACGCAGGACAGAGGTATTCCATGAGCTTAAACAGATGCCAGGCTTATTGTAAACTATCAGAGAAACCTGGTGATGCTCGGGTCTAAATATTATGCACAATAAAAGCACATTTTAAAGGAACAATTTATCAACGTTTATTTTCTTTAAACATGTTTAGAGTCCCTTCATATCAGCTAGGGTATTGGTGTAGGTCTCACGTTCACAGATTGAGCAGGTTTGAATTTTCCTTGTTTGTATCTCTCTTTCCAATGTCGTCATAACAAGTCTTGCAAAATTCATTGTTCGTCTTCTTGGTTTAATTTATCTTGCCAAATTATGGTTTTTTGATCTAGATGTCAATCCTCCTTTATCTTGTCAATCCTCGATTTGCGATCTGTTTCAATCGTTGTTCAGCAGTCTCTTGTTCCTCAGCTTTTTCTCCATCCTCTACAGTTCCAAGTAATGACTATATTGATCATCTAGCGGCTCACCAATTTTATGCTCATTTTACAGGTAGCTTTAAGGCGTGGCTTGTTAAATAGTCTGCAGGTTTGCTGCGGCGGGGGTATTTAACCTTACTGGGTCTTTCTTTCGGTTCTTGTTCTTGATTTACGCTGCCATACCCCCGCACTTCTCTTCCGTCCTGCTTTTTTACGCCCCGGCTGCTTGTGGGGGAGGGTGGCCGTGAAACACTACTGCCCCACCTAACACAGGAGGAGCAGCAGCAGGAGGAGGAGGAGGTCCCAACACTTGGGCCAACAGCCAACTGACTGTCAACCCAACACCTACACCTACCACAAAAGAAAGCACTCGACTCATTATAATTACTTACGTGTGAAAAAGTAGAATAGAATTAGAAAAAGAAATTAGCTTCTGTTGGCAATTGTCAGAGAAATAATGAAAATGAACCGTCTCTATGGATACTTATTTCATTGTTATAGTTTGGCTAGGTTTAGGATAAATTATTATAATCTTACTAATATTATTATTTAATAATCTCACTTTTTTAATGATTAATAATAATTTTCTACCCAAACTGGTATTTAATAGTTCAAAAACATTATTGCTAGTCTTTAACCCTAGCAGTGGCCAATGTTAGAAGTGGGGAATGGCCAACCCATTTTGGCGATTTTGCAGACCTTTTTTTGAAAATTCGTAAAAATTCAACCGTACAAGTAAACCTAGCCGACCTCATATTCGTTTTGTTTGGAAAGAACAGGAGAATCTAGAAATAGTAATATCATAATGATTTAGACAATGTATTTTATCGGTAAAGTGAAAAAAATAAAAAAATTTGAAATTTTTTTTTTTAATTTCTAAAGCGGCCTTGGTATTTTTTTTCCTACGGATTTTTTATGGGAAATTCATTATATACATTTTGTAGACAATCTAATTCCCTACATAGAAATATATAACATGTTAGGAAAATATTTTTTTTTATAAGTTTTTGGGGCGAAATATAATGACAAACGGAGAATCGAAAAAGTTGAAAACCGTACAGTGTTAGTTTATGTTGTAAAAAGTTCTATAATATATGTGTATACTAATAATGATATAGCCTATACATGTTTGTAAAGCTAATGAAGTAAGGAATCATAAAAAGTCATAAAGTTTATGGTAAAAATAATTTTGTACCTATAAACATACGTATATAAAATAATGTTTTTATATTTTAGCGATTTCTCGAGAGAAAAAATTCACAGTATTTAGTATACAACTTTTGTACCAAATTTTTTTACTTCACACCAACATAATAATCTTGTAGTGTATTAAATTACCTACGTAAAAATGTATTGTATAACATGTTAGAAATATTTTTTTTGTAGGTACGTAATAGGAACATAATAATACAATAACCGCAAAACCGCAAATAAGTGTAAACTATAGCCTACAGTGTTTGTTTGTGTTGTGAAACATTATGTAGGCTGATGATATGTAGCCTACATATTTGTAAAGCTAGTGAAGTAAGGAATCCAAAAAAGTCATAAGTATGATGGTAAAAAGTTATTTTCACCTATGATTATGTATCAATTTGAGAACGTTTTGAATTTTTTGCGCATTTCGAGAAAATGGAGTGTACAGTATTTAGTAGCCTATATAATTTTTTTACCTAATTTTTTACACCCAAACCAATATAAACATGTTGTAGTGTATTCATTTACCTTTATAAAAATGTATAACACCTTGGGTAAATCATTATATAGCATATATAGCACCTCTGAATGTCAGAATCGTCATTTTTGGACATGTTGCTAACAAAATACAGTAGTATTTAGTATAGGCTATAACTTTTTTAAAAAATTTTTTACCCCCAAACCATTATAAACATGTTGTAGTGTATTCATTTACCTATATAAAAATGTATAACACCTTGGGTATATCATTATATAGCATATATAGCATGACGAACTAAGGTCCGTCTCATACAACAATCTCTAAATGTCAGAATCGTCATTTTAGGACATGATGCTAACAAAATACAACCTTTTATGAACACTATTTCACACAATTCAGTAATATTTATGCATGAAGATTACTGTTATACACACACACAAACTTCACTAACACTAACACTACGAACTAATAACGTATTTAGTAATAAATCGCGGATAAAACGAGAACAAACACTATTACCGGCAACAACACAAACAAACAATGGCGAATACAAGACAGCTGACAGACTGTAGCAGTAATGACTAACTTCCGTCGTCTACATGCGAGCATACAGAAATAACCCTGAGTGCAGGGCTGCCACTCTCTGAATCTAAATTTTTCCTCTTCAAAATGACATACTATATGACTAGTAATAATAAATTACACTGTATGTAATTCGTATTTTCCACATCGTCACCTGACGACCATCTGCCATTTCTTAAAAATTTTGAAAACAGCTGTTTTCATAAAATCGTACCGGTTGTGCAATCAATATTTCGTTCTAAATATTACTACCACAATGAAGATAAAATCAATGGCTATCCAGTGGTACCACTCGCAACATCCCACGACGAAAATAAACCCAAGCAGGGTAATGCCAAACAAGACGTGTTTTGCCAGTTCCCAAGTGTTGGCTGCAAAAGTCGTGCTGCGTCAAAAATTCATTTGATTTCTAATCGTCGTGACATTGTTATATACCTGCTACAGGGTTTGTTTATATAATAAAATGAAAGTTCAGAATGTGATCTTACGAATGGTATATATATTATTCTCATCTGAGTTGATTGTAAGTTGTTTTTTTACCGCTAAAAAATTTTTGGCCCAGATCTTCACAAGACGACTTTGGCCATGCTAAGCATCAACGTCAGATCGTCACCAGACGTCGATCGGCCACTGCTAGGGTTAAATCTGCAAGTCTCTGGTTTGATTCCAAGTGAGATCTTTACCATCCACCCAGATGCCATTTATCATTATGTTAAGATATATTTAATTTATTTTAGGAGCAAAACTCTATTGCTTACAGCTTAGTTTTATAATATTCAACTCGGTTAAATCAAAATAGTGTTGTACAAAAACCCAATCACTCCTTTTTAATGTAAAAAGATTAATCCTGAAAATACAAAAAAATGTTCTTCTGTTACATTTTGACAACTCTGGCTCGATATCAGATATCAGAATTCTTTCAAAATTTACAATGGGATGTAATGTTTACTTGTGTTGGTTAGTCTATGGTAAGACTATAATGCATTTTCCACCCAAATAATAGAATATTAAACATACTTTTGATTCTGAATATATATTTATTTTATTGACTACATTGCTCTTACTCCTAATTATTCGTAGGATACAATATTATGGTACCGATACGATCGTAGGTACTACACTTTTGGCAATACTGGCCAATAATCTTCGTGCTTGGCTCCCATTGGACGGCGCGCGAGGCTTCTGATTGGGAGTTAGCGAGTTCCGCTGAGGGACCGAGTTAGCGACTTCCGTAAGAGGACGGAATTTGCTAACCCGGCTCTAGAGCGTGTTAGCGGGCTCCGGAGTTAGCCAATTCCGAAACCAAACAAGTTAGCGAGTTCCTCTCATCGACCAAACTTGAAGATAGGGCGTTTAACATGGGGTTAGCGAGTTCCAGAGAGATTCATAATTTTGCCTATATCGCATATGTTTTAGGAATCTCCCTTAACCTGCAGATCCCTGATAGCTATTGGAAATCATTGTTCAAATCAAGGAATGACATTTTGACCGGGCTATGTTTTACCCGTACTGGGCACAGTAATTGATCTTTCCCAGCTCTGTGAGATTATTCTGGCAATTTGTTGGTGCATAGAACCTGTCAGTAACACAAATTATTCACTAAATTTTTACTATTTGAAATAATATTTTAATTACTTTTTTGCTGATCTTATATGGTTGTTTCAAGGACCAGTTCAATAAATTTTTCAAATTAAGGAAGTTCAAATTCAAGTTCCACCACATTGAGTAGTTTGGAACCTAATTAATTTCACATGCTCAGTTAAAGTTAGGTTTGAAAATGTGTTTTCAATTCAAGGAATCAAAATTTACTCTATTCTATGGCCAATACTTCAAAACTAACTGGACAAAATTTTTGTGAATTTTATAAATAAGAGTTGAGTGCTTTAGATATTTTATTCAATTAAATTAGAAAGTACCAACTATTTTAGTAGGAAGTGATAGTATGTTTTGAAGTAAACTACTGATGTAACACAGAGCTGGAATGGGCTTTATTGTCACGGGCCAGCAAGTTTTGGGTGGTTCCATGAATAATTGCAGTATTGTTGACCCTGACAGGAAACACTCAAGGGTCATTGGGCTTTAAACCCAGACTGAATTGTTTATTGTGGCCAACTGCTTGTTTACATAATCGTGCAATCTTGAATAGCTCACCTTCGATAATTAGTATCAACTAGCTGTTACCTACGGCCTTCACCCCGTTAGACTTCATAAGTATTAATAATAAAACTATTGATTGGTTAAGTTAAGCTGAAATAGACAAAACAGAATCCGGGTAAAAAGTACAAACAATCACACATGATTTTAATTAGGTAATAAATCAAAAGAATAACAAACAAATAAGTACAGCTGAGTTGTTTTTAACATAAAATATATGGAATGTGTTCCCTTTAGAAAGGAATTATGACCATAAGGGCAATTGATAAAATAATGAATAGTTTTGCGCAAGGTTTCTCAAAAGTTTATGGGTACTTTGTGATTTATATATGGATGGAGTTGTCTTATCTATTAATTCATTATTATGTGATTTCAAATTTGGTTGTTAATAGAAAATAGTTTGTGACAATAAGCTCTGGAGAAATCTTGTGTGAATGTATTAATTACATAGGGTATTTTTGTAGTGTTACCTTACTGTAGTAAACCTGTAAATTGTAGTTCTAGTGCTGTTTCATGTTAACAAATCCATAAACCATATCTTTCAATCCATAAAAGATAGCTTTTAATAGTAACTTAATAGAAAATTTACCAAATAGTGATATGGGGTTTTTGTTTAAATAACACATTTTACAATAATTGTGAATTCACTACAAAATAACCATATTGGTATTTTTAACATTAAGTTCATCTTTTCACTGAAATACTGCTAAAGTGAAATCTATTTTATGTTTTATATAATTATTGTAACTTTTGGACTATATTTTTACATAAATTTCAAATTCATTACCTCTATTCCATTTTTGATATTCACCTCTTGTTGAGCACTATTAAAATTAAAATTAGTTCATTTCATTTCTGGAGAATATAGGCCTACCTAATAAGTAATAGACACATTAGGGTTTAAGACCTTTAATTTTTGGGTGATATTAAATCTGATACCGTCTTAGTCTAAAGAAATGTAATAAACAATCTTAAGGATGATGTTAAATAAGCAGTAAGCAAAAACTAAACTAATACGGTTTATCTTTTGACTTTTGTAGGAAAACGGTGGTTTGTCCAATCATCGATGTCATCTCTGATGAGACCTTTGAGTATATCACTGCCTCTGACATGACTTGGGGTGGGTTCAACTGGAAGCTCAACTTTAGGTGGTGAGTAACTGTAAAATCTCTTGATTAATATTGTATGACATTCACACACCAGGGTGAATTGGGTTTAAAAAACAATTTAACTGTTCCATAAGGGTAAATTTTAACTTGGCAAAAATATATTTGACACGTAGACTAAAATTATGCTGCACACAGGTATCGAGTCCCGCAGAGAGAAATGGCTCGGAGGGGAGGTGACCGTACAGCCCCCCTACGTACCCCTACCATGGCGGGGGGACTGTTTTCCATCGACAAGGACTATTTTTACGAGCTTGGAGCCTATGACGAGGGAATGGACATCTGGGGTGGGGAAAACCTCGAGATGAGCTTCAGGGTAAGGTTGAAATTAATATAGTGATTTTAGTGGAAAGTTCTTGCACAGATTTGAAGTTGTGTAGATTTAATGCAGTGCTGTACAAGTTGCTAAATTGATACCTAATGCTAAACATTATTGGATTTTTAGTTTGATTTTAATTTACTTGTGATAATATCTAATCTAAGTTTTTTTTTATTATTGTTCCACTGTTTTAATAGGCAGTAGTTAGATCACTAGGTAATTGTTTTTGTAAAGAATAAAAATTAAAAAAAAAATCTTTAAGTGCAGTATTTTCTTTTTTACTGCTTTTAGGTTTCCTTCATTTTCTCATTTTGTAATTTTATGTAATGTTTTATAAAGACTCAATCACCCCCCTATTCCTTAAACAACCCTAATTGCTTTCCTTAACAATAAAACCGTTGTATAGTTTTTGTTTTTATAAATTATAAACATTTGAACAATTTTTCTTCCCAGTTAAACCAATTTTCAGTGAAAATATTTAATTCACACATATGCCTATTTAATATCAATTTTTATCTTGTAAGTATGTTTAAATTTCTTACCATTCTAGCTTCTGTCCTCAGTACTTCATAAACTTTTAAACTTGTTTTCAATACTCCCAAAAATCACAATATTCTAATACCAGTAAGTATGTTTTTTCTGTTTGTCATTTATAGCCTCTGTCCCCAGGTTTGGCAGTGTGGTGGTATTTTGGAAATCATCCCCTGTTCCCATGTGGGCCATGTTTTCCGTGATAAGTCCCCATATACATTCCCAGGCGGTGTTTCAAAAATCGTGTTGCATAACGCAGCCCGAGTAGCGGAAGTATGGATGGACGAGTGGCGAGATTTCTATTACGCGATGAATCCAGGTAGAAGACGCTTCAGGCAGCCGCGCATCAGCCATGCTTACTCACACATAGAAATGCACAGATTCATATAAAATTTATACTTGCAGTTATTTGCTAAAAAAAACTTGAGTTCAATTAATACCAAAACTATTCACAAAGAAATCAAAGCAAATATTTTTAACCTCTCGGTCTTGTTTACACAAATAAAAAGGTTAAATGTTGTACTGTCGTATTATCAAGTTTTGTCAAGTGATCTTGGTTTTGAACCCAAAGGTTCATTTTCAAGCTTAAGAATACCAAGTTGTAAAAACAAACAGATCTTCACCCCTACGGTTATGATGAGTCGTTCCAAACACTTACACTAGACAAAAACATTTAATAACAATTTTTGCAAATCAAATAGTGGACTCCTGGTTTGGCTGGCAGATCGTGGGTCATAACTAATCACAGGTCTGTCGGCTACAAGGAAAATGAACCTTTAAGTTCAAATCCATGGTCACTCAACAAAACCAGATTATTAGACAGTGTGACATATTTAACCTTTTTATTTGTAATAAAGCACTGTTTAAATTACTTTTTTTTACTCTATTCATTAAGAGTCTCAGTTGCTGAAAAGAAGTATTATTTTTTATAGCATTTTTTAAAATTAAAATAAGTAATTATGAAAATGATGTCCTCTGTTTGAGATAAGACATAATGCAAATTTAAGTAACATAATTTCTTTGTTACTGAATCTAATTTTGGCAGAGAATGAATTTTACTAGGCCTAAATATGTTATCAAGGAACGTTTAATCATATCTGCTTTTTCACTACTCTTTTCAGAATTGACAATAAAATTGTTGGTGCTACTTTGGCAAGTGTACAAATACAGTTTGTTACAAAAAATATTACTAAATACTGTTGACTATTCATTTTTTTACTCTGTGCATTTCTTTGCTCAGCATGTTTGAACGCCATTCGCTTGTTTTGTTTGTAGCAAGTCAATATACCTAAGCTTTACGGTTACTGAGAAACTAACATTTTACCTAGCAATAATCTATGTGCAGCTTTGGCGGAATTGTTTTGTTTATAACCGTTTGTGATTGAGTTTTTGTTGACTAACAATATTTAATTGTTTTCCAGGTTGGGATGCTCCATTTATCCATTCAGTTTTGTGTTATTTTGTATGGTACTTCTGGGGGCTCTTGTAAAATTGTATGTTAATTCTTGGAAATTTCATTCCTAATCAGGTATATTTTCCAAATATAACACTTAGGGATGAAACGTATAAAACTTTATCTTCCATCAAAATTCCTGTTTTTTTTAGTTTACATTCCAACATAACATAGATCTATTCAGGCATTTCACTACCATTACAGGTTTTCATAAATGAGGATATAAATTTGGTTACTAAATGCACGTGATTCTCATTGATAATTTCTCAACACACTGGGTGACACAGTTTTTCTTGTGCTAGAGTGGCACAAGTCTATCTACAGAATTCCCTGGGCATTGCAGATGTTTTCACAGTTGTGTGTTATTTCCACATATGTGATATACGAAGGCCTGCAGATGTGGTGTGTAACTGTTTTGACTATGGATAGTAGACATTCCATTCCCATGTTAAATTGTGGCTAGTTTTAAAATGAGAATTAATTGAGCCACCATCAGAAAGTTCAGATCTCAGTCACAGATTTCTGTATACAGCAACCTTTAAAAAAACCAAACTTATTAAACTGTCTATATTGTAACTTAATAATCAGCATATTAAAAAAGAGGGAAAATATAATTTTTGTATTAACACTCTTTGTGGGTGCCTTTTCAACTACATCAGAGTCCTGCGAACCCGAACGTCCTTTAATACCTAATAAATAGGTTAATACGATGAAAGTAGGTATTTTAAGTCAAGTATGACTGGAGATGAGTACAGAATGAGAGGCACAATCTTGTAGTCTTGTTAGTGACTAAGGTCGACATATTCCTTAGACAGGACTGTTAATTAATAGCCCATACAGCCAATGGCGTCTAAGGGACCTACAGTTTATAGTGGAATCCGAACCACATTTTTGCATAATTGCCTGTAATTGTCTTTTTTTCTTTTGAATAAATCTTTCCAAGCCGAACCAACTGTTAGGAGAAAAGTTTACTGTATTTCAATTTACAAAATAGAGCTCTATGGGTCTGAAACACGTACACTTAATTTTACAGCACATTACTATTGGTCTCTCTGGCATTTCATACAATTGTATCCTGTTAAAGCTAAGAAGACCTGATGTTTCGTATTGAACTGTATCAATTAATTACTTTCAGAGCGTACAAATTCAATTATGAGCATTTTACACAATGAGGAAACCACAATACAAATTTGCACCATTGTTAATGTGGCCTTTATACATCACATCCCACTACAGTAGACCTGATTTTCACAGTCTGACTCTTTATCACATTTTTTGTGTTGTTTCAGCTTTTTAAAATTTTTAGCAATGTAATGCCAATATATGAGGTGTACTTTTGATAAAAATACAAAGATTATGTAATTTAACTGTACTTCCGGATATTTCAGACAATTTGGTCACCCCAACTGGATAAGTTTGGATTAGCTTGACTCTGGTGTAGGTGTCATTCTATTTGAACAACAATCTAGCTACAGCTGGTCCATATGGTATGTCTACTCTGGTCACGGATGGTTGGATTGTTTGTGCAGTGCTGGGTAGCAAGTGAGGTTATGTTGTCAGATATGGATGTGCGGTGGAGTGCTGGAGATAGCCACATGTTCACACGTCGGTCATGTGTTCCGCAAGTCCACTCCGTATAGTTTCCCCGGAGGCACCAGCAAAGTGGTCAACCACAACAACGCCCGGCTGGCCGAAGTGTGGCTAGACGAGTGGAAACACTTTTACTACGCAATCAACCCAGGTCAGCTGACCTTCCACTTCTTCGCTCCCCTTTCCCCTTATGAGCAGAGCAGGTCTTGTACAGAGGTGTAGTAGTAAATTTCCCAGTGCGGGAAAGCTAACCATCGTCTGCCATCTATATAAAAAATATAGATCACCTTTTATATTAAGGTTTTTTTAAAAAAAGCAGAGTAGAAACACAGTTACAACTACACGACCGGTCTTGTACACGTAGGGAATGATGATTGCAATAAAAAATATGTTTGTGTAAGGAGGATGTCTATTGCTCCTGACTATCCAAGATCTTCCAAAAGTCCCCAATATTTAATTAGGTCCTAGATGTCACCAAATATTCCAAGATGGTAAAATGTATTCTCAATTATTTTAACTAATTCAAAATGTTTATACTTTTTAGTTTTTACCATGAAAGTTATGAATCTCCCGATATTTTTACCGATCAGTTCAATTTTTTTAAATTGAGAGATGAGCTTTGTAAGTAAGGTTAGGAAACTGAGATTTTTGCTATTGACTAATTTAATTTTACTCAGAACTTTCATGTGCAAAATCAATTAGCCTATGTCTTTTGCCATCTGAAAAGTTAAAACAGTGTGTTTTGTTACGTCTAAATATTTCATTATAGTTTGATATAACTTAAATAAGTGTTACCAATTTTGCCTGTGTAGCATAAATTTTGTATGACACCAATTACTTTACCTTAGACTGTCAAAATGATTACCAACATATATTGGCCAATCACAATACCAAGATAAAACGTGTAGCTTAGTGTGTTTGAGGTATTTAAAATTATACACAATGAGCAGGTTATACCTGTTATAAATATAAATTGTACTGTGTGACCTTATCCTTTGTGCCTTCGTAAAATTAGTGTTTTACTAACCATACAATGTTCCCCCACTGCTGTCTTTGGTACAGTCAATTATAACATTGAGTAATATGATTCCAGCTCTGCTCAAACCAATATCTTGTCTCAGTCTACCCACATAGCACAGAGCACTATCCATTTTGTTTTGAGTCACAGTCAGAAGATGTTTTTGTTTCTGTTCAGTCACGGTTCTTTGTCGCACAGGTCTGGTTGTTAAACTGTCACCATTTGCCTACTGTGATGTTTGTGTTTGGTAATGTATTAACGTTTTGTTTCTGTTTATTTTATTTCTTCTCCTTCCTATTTCATCAGCATGTTTATTTACTAACGCGGTCTTGCTTTACTGTTTTTCCACTTGAAAGCATTGGTGGTGGGATATATGGTTGGCGATATTATGTTTTATGGAAGAGGAATATTTTAAGAATTGGACTCATAAGTTTATACTTTGCAAGAGTTGTTGGGTGTGGGAGGAAAAAAATTTCCATAATCAAAGGAATTTCAAAAACTTAATAAAGGGTGAGAACAATTTTTTTCAGACTCTTGAGTCCTTTCTTGCTTCTATTTAATAAAATAAAACATGGCCTCTATCTAAATAATAAACAAGATTGTAGCAAGAAATAGTAAACAAAATCAGGCTAAGTGCTTTTTTGACAAATCAAGAGAACTTGTATACATTCAAACTTGGTTACTTAGCCAATTAGAACAGTATGCATCCCAAGTACATTAAGCAATTGAAATGTTTCAAAAAGATGTTGGTCTCTTTTAGACCAAAAATTCAAAACCAAATAAATTGTGATTTTTATTGAAGTATCTAGCATACATTATATAAAATAGTTGATTTAATTAGCACCAGGCATTGTTACAATGTGATATTAACAAACAAATGTCAACTCTAGGAGCTGCAAACGCAGATGTGGGGGATGTTTCCGAGAGGAGGAAACTGAGAGAAACTCTCGGCTGTAAAAGTTTCCGCTGGTATCTGGAAAACATCTACCCTGAGTCACAGATGCCCCTAGACTACTACTACTTGGGAGAGGTAAAACCAAAATTTTATTTTAAAATTCTTTTTCCATTAACCATACAGGGTAGACTTCCGTATCTGTTGTCAAAAACAACCCAATGAAAATATCGATTGTTTCATTCAATATACCTAACTAACCAAACGACATATCAAATGAAATAATCGATATATCAATCGATATTTTCATACAACCAAGGCTTGAATAATTAGTAATATTTTTTTCTGTCACCATGTAAGTATGCCCATGATGTTTTAAATGCACTATATCATCCTATGATGCTACTCACCGATGAAGAACATATATAAATTATCAGTTATCAATTGGAATAGGGACGTAGGTACGTGTTTTAACCCAAATATGAGTGAAGGATGAGTGTAGAATGGAGTAAGATGAGCTGTGTACCTTTTGTTACTGAGATCAGCTGTTCCATTAGTCAGGTTCATTTATTAAAAGCCCAATGATTAAGGACAGCTGGGTCCAGTTTTAAACGATCAAAAAGCTACACTGACCTTGATTTTGTGCATTACCTTTCATCCCATATTACTGTCTTTAATAGCCGAAAGTCAACTAAGTGGGGATTTACTTTTTACTGTATCGCCGCATAATAGTATATCACGTGGCGGCAGTTTTAGCGAATTTCCCCTATAGGGAATAAGCTATTTTCAAGATGGCGGCTGTTTCCCCAACTGGGATTTCTTGGAACTTTGTGTGAGCATTTCCAAAAATTTTCAGCCTGTTATCAATTTTGTCCCAGTCATAACTCAATTGCACTGGACTTAGCCCATACAGCTAATGGCAAAAACCCCATTACAGGCAGGCTCTTAGCCTGCCTCATTGTAGGCTAAGAGACCTACAGTCTATAGTGGAATAGTGGAATCCGAACCACATTTTTTCCTTGTAATTAACGAATTGGTCTAATTATCCCAATAGTACTGCGGAAAGTCGCAGTACTCACTAGTGCGGACGTTAATCCACACCAGGGAGCATCGCATCCACAGTGCATGCCTATAAATAACCACAATTTGTGACCTCCTAGTAGCTGGATTACAAGACGACGCCACCGTCCCAGTCATAGATTCATTGATAGGGATTAATTAATTAATCAGATACAGTCATTGATAGGGAATTAAAAATTCTAAATAAAAGAGTTCTTGACTTTTTTCATAAAATCTGCCATTTTTTTTTAGTAATTTTGGTTAATGAAAACTACTGCTATTTTGCAATTTTGAGTTGAATCAAGATGAATTTTTTTTCCAACATGAGTCTCTTCCACCCGGACATACCAAGTTTCATAAAAATCGGTTGAAAGAATTAAAAAAAAAATATTTTGTAAAAATTACTAAATGGCGGATATCTGGCTAACAAAGTGATTTTGGAAAAAATGTTATTTGTGATTTTCTTTTTATTTTCACCCAAGGAATCTCTAAGCAAATTATGTCCCCACCTTTTATTAACTCCCTGTATATTGTGTTTGCCTTGTAATCGCCAGATCGACCCTATGAAAAGCCAGGGAGCTTTTTTGATTCATCAAAACTGGGGTCAGTTGTTATTAATCATTTGGTTTTTAATAAATTGTCCGGGATAAATCGCTAGTCTTAGTCTCACTCTGTTCTATTTTCACTTTAAACTACTCACCCAGGTGTGTGTCGCTATCTTGAAAAATTGATCGCTTCAATAATTCTACTACCTTTATATAACTGGGTTAATCAGATGAAATGTGTTTACAGGTTAGAAATGCTGAAACGCATAACTGTCTAGACACCATGAGTCGCAAGAGTGGTGAGAACGTTGGTATGAGTTACTGCCACGGACTTGGCGGCAATCAGGTGAGTTTTGTGTTTTGCAATTGAATTTTAACTTCTTCGTCTTCTTGAGTTAATCATTAGGTTAAAATTGAAAGGAAACCCATTTGGCTAGTTAAGCATTATCGTGGAAAGAAAAGGAGTTTAGCAAGCTTACATGAGAAAATTAAAGTCTGGAGGCTAATGGATAAACAATAAAAGAAAACAAAACATCGACACTAGTGGATGAACTCTATTCCTTTCCTAAAATAATTCCTACATTGTATCTTTGTTATGTGCATTAACTGACTTTGGTTTATGGGTTTATTTTTACTAAAGATATCAACTAAAATATTGTTAAATTATGGATGGCTAGAACTCAAGCAAACTTCAGAATAAGTTAATACAAGATTTAAAGAAAGACCACTTTCTACATGGACTCTATAAAGGTTGTTACTTGTTCTGTCTGTTTAACATGCTTAGTCTTATGATCAAATGGTTATGATGTAAATGTAAGTCGTACACAGATCATTGTCTGATTCAGAGATCCGAATGAGATGGTGGTTATTTGTGTTTCTTATCTACGCCATTTTTTACATTTTTGTAAGGCCCAAACAGGTCTTGGTACTATCTAATGTCAACCTTTTGCTAGACATCATTAATTAGTTTATAATAATAGGTCATGGTTAGTGTAAATAAAAAATAGACTATAGTCGGTCCATGTGGAGTAAAAGTCAATGGTTACGTACGATCACACAACATTGACTTGTACGATTGTTTCACAGGTATTTGCCTACACCAAGAGGCAGCAGATCATGTCAGATGACAACTGTCTGGACGCGTCCCAACACGACGGACCTGTCAAGCTCGTCCGCTGCCACGGCATGGGCGGGAACCAGGCGTGGATATATAGTGAACAGGTAATGTTTTGTTGTTAAGTTATGAATATTTCTACTAACAATCTTATTTTTGTTGATTGACGATTAAAAGGTTTGTTTAAGTTTCATAAGGAAATGCAACTTCATCGTTTAAGGGAAAATTAGAATTTAAGCTCAAATCTTATATGATGGTTGGCCCTTCTTCACACACCCTGCAATCAGTCCTTTTGATTAACTGTTCTATCACATAGGTTATATACTGTAACAGTAGATGTATAGCACAGTTTCCAAATAAATGTTATGGTGAGTTTTGATCACACACATTGTTTTTGCTGACAGTTTCTTTACTTTCTCATTAAGTAAAACTGTGAAGTAATATTTTTGCTTTTTTGAAACAACTTAACATTTTCTCATTCTTTGATGCAGGACAGAACAATAAAACATGTAAACACAGAACAATGTCTACAGAAGCCCGACACTCGTAGTCCGTCAACTCCACTTCTACGCAACTGTGACAGCAGCCAAGGGCAAGAATGGATAATGAAAAGCAAGTTCAAATGGCAAGCTTCGTAGGAAACACAATCCAACACTCAAAATTGAAAAGATAACTGTGAAACTCTCAGGTGAAACTGTACAACCAACAGTATTAGTATTAAACAGATAAAGTCGCTAAAGCAAAAGAAATCAACTTCTGTGATGCATGTTTACAAATTATTGTTGTGTGGAGAAAAACACAGAAAAAGTTACTATTTCTAATGTCTGTTATTTGATTTCGCAATGACGCATCTTTTAATTTACTGTGGTTATCTTTTCTATGGTGGAAAGTTATTTTAGTAAAAGTCATATTTTCAAAATTTCTAGGATTACAGATATTCAGTTTTGCTTGTAGGTCATGTTTCTGTCAACAGACACAACAAACCAAATAAATTATTTCTTCTTTTAGAATAGCAATGTAACTTTAAATATCCGTAGAATAGAGCACTGAAGTCTGTTTTATACTATTTCTAATTTTTACCTTCCCATAGCTTCCCGTGCCAAAGGTTGTGCGGATCGCTTCAGGCGGTCAGATGGAGTATTTGTAAATAAAAAACCAGAGTGAAGTAGCCTATATAAAAGAGCTTAGCTCAATGAGTTTGAATTGTAATAACTACGTTGGATTCCATAGTTTATTACCTGTAAAAACCACATTCCATCAAATTTAAACTATTTTAAATACTTCTAAACCAAAATTATTTTGTCTTATAAATTCAAATAAGTTTCACACCAAAATTTGTTAGTTTCCTGGCAAATTTTCTTTAAGATGAAACAACTGTTATTTGTGCTTAGATTTTGAATTGCAATTTGATTTATTTAATTGTATTTAACATGAACGTCTAATTTGATTTTTTTCTTGCTTTTTAAAAAAATATTTATGCATTATGTTTATGACTTTTACTATGCTTTGAGTGTTGGGTTGTAGTTATTCGTACCAGAGAAAGTTGCCTTATTAACGAAACATTTTATATGTCAACAGGCAGCTTCCAATAGTGTGTGTCTCCGTATTTTGTACAAGATGTACCCTTCCCTAACATATCACCTTGCCTTCGGGCACTAAATTGTGCAATTTATTACAAATTATACGAACAAATTTTTACTTAAATGGCTCGTATCATATCTTTAATGTACTTAGATGTGTTTAATCAGTATTTTGTTATGTATCTTAAAACAATATTAAAATTTTATGGATGTTTTGTTGTGTTAATCTATTTCGAGGCATGTGAGCATCCGACTGAACTGATTATAGTTATTTTTATAAATTTTAATCGGGTTGTTTTCGCCCGAATGTATTAGCTCAATTTCGCAAACAATGTTTTTTTATATAAACTTAAACGATAGTGTTAAGTAGTGTCTGTGCTCACATTTCTTCATCTTGTTAATATTCTCAATACTTTATTTAAAACCATCTAGGATCGCTTGAAATGGCGTTTGTGTTTTTAGTATTCTTTGTATATGTCGTGTAATAGATAAATTGTATGGGATTAGATAGTTTAATGTCCCCTAGTAGTGTCATGAAACGTATGAAACCTGACTTTTGTACCTAGATAACTGTCATTCCTTTGACCTCAGTTTTCCATTCATGATGGCTTCATGTAGACGAGGTACAGTGTGATTTAATAAACATTTTCTTTAATTTTTATTATTTATATAATTTACGTAACTTATTAAATTGTAATACTTTTGAGGCCTAGAAGCTAAACATAATCATACAGTTTAAAATATTCAAACCAGAATGACTATTTCATTCCTGGTCCAATCTTTATGTAAGAAAGTGCCTTTTTACATTGCCATATGCAAAAATATCTCTTACCATCTTTACGCTTTGTTATGTCTTTTATTTGTTGTAGAGTTAATTTCTAGCATGTCAAAAAGATATCTCCTATGGGAAATAATGTGAGCGGTTTTTTGGGTTGAATAACTTGTAAATAATGGTAATCTGTACTTTAAGAACAAAAGTTGTATCAAACACTCATATCATAAATTAATAATATAATGACATACACATTATTCCAGAATTTTATCTGTTTGTATATTTTACTATCTTTCTTGTATTTTTATGTTTACAAAGAATAAACATGTTAATTAACTATCTGGAGTTAAAATTTAGCGTTTGCTCTCTAATAGCTCAAATGAACAAGATTGATTTTGTCTTTTAATCTGCATCACAATTGTTTTGTTTTGAATGGCCTAAATGAGGTGCGTGTAACTTTTCAAACATATTTATTTTGCATGACTTTTATATGTGGTCAATTTAAACAGCGACTTTTAATTTTAAAACATTTAAAACCTGTATTATATTTTGAATGTGTACACAAACAAATCTGTGATAATTTAGTTGAACGTCATTATTTATGTTTTACTGTTAAAATTTGATAAAGCACACAGTTTTAGTATAGTAATCGTCTATGATTGTAAAATTATATAATGAACGTTGACCCTTCTTCCCGAAGTACTTAATATTATGCTAAGAAACGCAATATATTTATAAAATGGTATCACTTTTGTATGTTTACCCTTTTAATGTAAGAAACAGTAATTAGAAAATTGTATGTACTTTTGACATTCCATAGTCAAAATTGTTGTTTTTTTAAAGATGTATATACATAAAACACTTGTTACTTTTTGAATATTGTTTTGCTTACAGTACCCATTTTTATAACCACCTATGACTAAACAATAACGTATTTGCTAATAACCTACTCAGGTTTACTGCCAAGACAGAAAATTGGATCAAACAAAACTGCATTGGCATTGGAATTTCGTAATAGAAAAAGTGTTGTTATTATTTTGTCAATAAGGTTAAATACAACCTGGTTAAACAAGCATAAACACCAACCATGGGTTGGGGCTATTTTATTTTAACACATTTTTGAGTGTCGCATATATGCGATGCCGCGATCATTGCCACTGACCGAGGTATACAATTTAATCTTAACACTTAGACCTGCTGTCACTTGGTTATCAGTACACACAGACCAAAGGTGAAAACCTGTTAAACAGTGATAATTTAATTTGTATACACTGCAATGGTGTTATTTACATACACCATTGCAGTGTATACAAATTAAATTATCGCTGTTTATAAAATTTTTTTTATATTTTGACAACCTTTTGCAATGCCGCATATTTGCGACTCCCACGGTCTATGGCGAGACAATAGTGAATATTATTATACTTTTCTTGAAATAGCCCAAACGCCGCATATATGCAACAGTTAATTTTTGTTTATTTTTTTAGCTAAAAGTAAAAGAATAGATTATGCAAGAACAGTTTATAATTGAACAAATATAAAATAAATATTAAGCTACATAGGATAATGCAGCATACATACATACACATATACAGTGATGGAGAAAAGTACAGACCAGTTTTTCCAACTATCTATGTTGTAATTAATAATCATATCCACAGACCAAGCGACGCAGTTGTGCGTCAGACATCAATGTAGACTGCAGAGAATTCAGTGCCTTTAAATCGACCGTTACAAAGATATAAGCCTTTTGATAACATTGGAACACCGACACAAATATGCGTCGTCAGTCCGTAGGGATATCTGCCGCACATTGGGTTGGTCGGTGGCTATAACGATTGGTTCGTCACACAACAGTTGGCAACATTGTTGTTTACATTGTCTTTTCCGTGGCATCACTGGACTGATGTAAACGTGCTAACCTTTGTAGTACAGTAGAACCCCTCATATCCGGCCTTGGTTTTACCGGTCCTCTGTTTATCCGGCCCCTTCCAGGAAGCCAATATCAAAATTTTTTTCTCACAGCTTACAGCCGTTTAGATGCAAGCACTAGTCTTTGTGACTGCTCAAGTCATAAAATAAATTGTTCTCACTATTTATCTGTTTGTTTATACATTTATTTGCTGAGTCACTATACTCAGTTGAGCTAGTAGGCCTAACCTCTGATCAGTTGGTTGATTATTTCCCAAGTGGGTTTAGTACAGTACAGTACGAGTACATTAATTTTTGTATTTCACAAAATGGTTAAGAATGTTGAGTAGAAATGCAAGTACCATTTAAATCCTAATGATCTTTAAGTACAATTTATTATCATTTTTACCTCCATTTAATATGTTTTGTTACCTGGAATCATAATACAGTATTTGTACATTCATTACCTACTTAATGACTTTAACCTACAAATATTTTTTTTCCTTTATTACAAACATATGTTTATCAGGGTTGGTACTGATTTTGGAAAATGAAATTCCCTGACTTTTCCAGGTTTTCCAGACTGATATTATACTTTTTCCAGGAAAAAGTATAATATCAGTCTAATATCAGTCAAGTATAATATCAGTCAAAATATCGAATAGTCAGAATCGAGAATTATTAGAAAAAATGTAGGCCTAAATAGTTTACTCATAAAACCAATAAGAAAAGAATTAAACATCTGGAATCTGGAAAATTAAGAGTACCAACTAACTTAACCTCACACTTTATGTTCTACTTGGCCTTGACTTGACACTAGCAGATAGACGATACGGTGCTTCTGATACTGATATATATATCGATATTTTGCTTGCGATATCATCGGCTTATATCGGAAGAAACATGTGATATAGGAAAAATAACTACCATGCTTGTACCGGTGACAAAAAGTAATACCAAACTAAACTATTAAATGTTTCAACTAACAGGATAAAATTTTTTTTATAAACTCCTACAAGTGCAGTTTTTTTTAGTTTATTAAAGGTTGAATCAGTATTGAAAGGGTAAAGGTGTTGAACTTTTCAAAGACTATACTCCGGGAAATAAAAGTATTATTAATAAAGAAGGCTTGTCAGAATCTGAGTGGAAAGACAGTATAAAAATGATTGCAAATGTGGTGCCAGTGCGTGTTCTCCACAGCAGAAGTCAGGGCAATAACCGCTGCAGGCATGCCTGTGGTGAGATTGAAACCCTTGCACATGCCCTTGGCTTCTGTCCGTTTGGTGAACTTCTAAGAATCACTAGGCATCACAAAATAAGAAGTATCATAGCAAATGCCTTCCGAAAAAGGTATAACACATGGGAAGTGCAAGAAGAAGTACACTGTCTTTCTTGTAAAGGAAGCACCAGAAGAGTAAATATTTTATTGATAGAAAGAGAAACTAACAAAGGCATAATTCTCGATTCAACAATTCGATTTGAAATAAACATAAATCAACCTAACGAAGTAAATGAAGAAAAGAAAAAAAAATATGATCCTACCTTTGAATATTTCAAGCAAAATTTTAAAATTTGGAAAGTTGAGGTGATTGGATTGTTTATTGGTTCAAGAGGAACATTATCAAAATTTTTTGTGAACTTTTGGAAACAATATGATTTGGACAGATCCTTTTTGAAAATTATTACTCATGAAACATTAAGAGGTTCATTGAGCATAATGAGAAATCATCTATATGGCAAACATCAAAATTAATCAGTCTTATACAATTTTATCTTGTATAATTTTTTCTGTGTCATTGGCAACCTTATTTTTTAAGGCAGATGTATTTATTTTTATAAATAAATTCTTTTCTCTTTTTATAAATTCAATGAGGAATTGTATTCAGTATCGTATTGAAATTGAAACGATGAATGTAGGCCTATCCTTCCGCGCATCCCGGTACTAGCAGTGTTTCCATACGTGGGATTATTAACTTATCCCGAAAACTTTTCAGAGCCAGCTTAGCCTTAGGACACATTCCCTTAGGGTGGTGTAATTCACGTATCGCATTTATTCCTAAACCAGGAAGGGATAGTTACACTGATCCTAAGTCATTTAGACCCATTTCTCTATCTTCTTTCTTCCTTAAGATCCTAGAAAAGTTGGTCTCAAGATATGTGATGGATACAGCTCTTAGGACACATCCTTTTCATAATAATCAGCATGCGTATGTCTCAGGAAGATCATGCGAGACTGTGTTGCACCAACTTGTAAGCAAGATTGAGAAAGCTCTAGAGAGCAGTGAAGTGGCCCTGGGTGCCTTTCTCGATATTCAAGGTGCTTTTGATAATACTGGTACTCCAGCAATTCTTAATGCGGTGAGAGGAAGAGGTTTTCACGGTATAATATGTAGATGGATTGAATCCTTGCTTCACAGTAGGAAGGTTAGGCTCTCACTCCATAATGACACGATCGAGGCAAGAACTACTCGAGGATGCCCTCAGGGGGGGGGGGGTTCTCTCTCCTCTCCTTTGGAATTTGGTAGCAGACGACCTTATAAGGACACTCAACAAAAGTGGGGTTTTCGCCTTAGGTTATGCTGATGATGTTGCAATCCTTGTGGTTGGAAAGTTCCACGGAACCATAACTGACCTTATGAATAGAGCTTTAAGGGTAGTGGACCGTTGGTACCAGGAAGATGGGCTCTCTATAAATCCCAGGAAAGTTGTAATAGTACCCTTCACAAGAAGGAGGAAACTGGATGGGATCGGCCCACTAAGACTGCAGGGCACTGTAATAGAGCTGCAGAATCAGGTGAAGTATCTTTGTGTAATTTTGCACTTCACTGGGGACCACATCTTCAAAAAGTCACTGAGCGTGGCAAATGGTCCCTTATGGCATGCAGGCGGATGGTAAGTGGCACATGGGGGTTACAGCCTAAACTTTTATGCACTGGCTGTATGTATCTGTTGTTCGACCCGCCCTTACATATGGTTCGCTTGTGTGGTGGCCAAAGATGGAATCTACTATAGCTGTCAAAGCTTTAGCAGGAGTTCAGAGGCTTGCTCTTATAACAGGGTGTCCACAGAAATTTTGTCATTAATTTCCCTGACTTTCCATGACTATCCATGACCATTAACCATTGATTTCCATGACTCACGAACTTTACTCGAAAATTATAATATACTGTAAACACACAAATAATACTGCCTAGACAGAAAATATTGAAATACGTATTAACAAATGACAAATAACAATGGCGTACAACAGGTACAACAATGAACTAAATACAAACTCAAAACCCATAAACTAAGACAACTGTAGGCCTATAAATTGAATTGTCGTACCTATATTTCTGAAAAATTCGGAAAAATGCTACAATAGTTGGAGTTACAGCTGACTAGATCATTGAAAGGACCCCTGAAATCCATCCATCATTGGTGATTTCCATGACTTTCCATGACTTTTTGCCTATTTCCATGACTTTCAATGACCAGAATTTTTTTCCATGACTTTCCCTGACTATCCCTGACTTTCCAGAATGTGGACACCCTGTTATAATGATAACTGGGGCAGTAAGCAGCTGTCCTGGAGCGGCTCTTGACTGTCTGCTTGATATGCTACCTATCGACATTTACATCAAGGTGGTAGCAAGTAAAACAGCCCAACGCCTTGGATGCGAATACTTATGGATAACCTCAGGAAACAATAAAGGGCACTCCAAAATTGTTCAGGTGGTACATAATGATGAATTGCACTTGCCTTCAGATCACATGTCCAAAAAATACTCCTTTGGAAAGCCTTTCAAAGTACTAATACCAGATAGGAAGGATTGGTCTGGCGGAAAAGGACCCATACCCACAGGTGATTTAGAATGCTATACTGATGTTTCTAAGATCAAAAATGGGGGCACTGGAGTAGGTGTGCATTGGATGAATGGAGGCACTGGCATTTGTCTTCCAATGGGGGTGTACCCAACTGTCTTT